AAAAGTATTTCTCTCTATTCATTTTAGCTCTTTTTTTTAAAAAAAAAAATACTCAGGCATATATAATAATTTACACCACCAAACGGCGCATTCTGTATATCTGCCTCCTGGCGGCCAGCTCTCAGTCCCTCTCTTTCCATGAATCTAGAGTCCTCAACTACTCCCTCTCTCCATGTCCTCATCTCTGCCTCCATCTCTGGTGTCACTGCTTCTCTGGAAAAGGTCCAGAATTCTGCTTGTGCTCTTCTCCCTTGATGGTCCTAGGGTCCTCTATTTCTGGACTGTAAGATTAACTACTCCTCCGTTTTTGTTAGAAAACTTCTACCTTTACAATTGTGACTGTCGCAATTAGTCATGATAACAATTACTCACTGTTGAATCATAAGAATCTTATCCCCATCTCCTTTCACCAGACCCATCTAGACAAAGTGAAAACTATTCAGTGGGGACTCTGTCATCCCTCACACACTCTTAAACTTAACTCCCTCTTGAAACCTTGTAAGCCAGTCACTTCCTGCCTTTTTCAACCCCTCATTTTAGGTAGCCAATGTCTAAGTTGCCAGTCCCTATCTACCCTGTATACAGAGGGGCTAGCATTGATGCTTGATGTGAAGATTCCTTCCCTCTCTGTTGATATTTTGAACTACTCCAGCCATGAGTATAGGTCAAGTTCATCAAATTGTAGCAATTTACCCTCGTTTTCTTTATCAAAAGCTTTCTATGTTGTTTTTTTAAGCAGGGTGTATTCTTAAACAAGCAAAATCCCATTGTTTTTTGATATTGCTGACCACGAAATTCCCCAGGTACAATGGAGAAAGAGCTAGAGAACTGATGGGCTATGCTCTTTTATTTTTTTAATGTTTTATTGTGAATTATGTGATAGTTTACATGGGAGAACATTAGTTTTACATTCACCCTATCGTATATTGTTTCATTGCCATGTTTACAGTCCCCTCCATGCATCATCAACCAACCAAAGTGTATACCCTGCAAGCCTGGTTCATCAACACACAGCCCCTCTCCGTCTCTGGGTCTAGAGTCCCCGCTGCTCCATATTAACACATCATCTTCTCTGCTTCCATCTCTGGTGTCACTGCTTCTCTGGGTAGGGTCTTGCACTCCACTCCTCTCCCTTGATGGTTCCAGGGACATCGGCTCCTAGACTGCAAAATCAATCACTCCTCTCCTTTTGCTACAAAACGTCTACCTTTACATTTCCAGCCTTCACAATCAGTCCTGATAACAATTATTCACTCTTGTATCACAAGGGACCGATCTCCATCTCCTTTCATTAGCTCTGCCTAGACAGATTGGATACAACTCAGTGGAGATTCTACCTTCCTCCAGGCCCTCTGGATGTAGGCTCCCTCTTGAAAGCTTGTAAGCTAGTCACTTCTTGCCTTTGTAGCCCCCCGCCCCCCATTTTGGGTAGCCAATGTCCAAGTTGCCCATCCCTGTCTACTCTGTGTATGGAGGGGGTGGGGATGATTCTCGCTTCCATAGGTGTAGGTCAAGTTCATCAAATTAGATTACTCTTTCTTTCTTCTTCTAGTTGAGCTCTGATCATCCAGTCACTGAAGCCAGGTCAAGTAGGTATTATCTGCAAGTGTGGGTGTTCTTGTGCATATGCCCTCACTTCTTATCAGCTGGATGCTTCACTCTCCACTCTAGTCCTCTGTGGCTATGTCACTGACTCTGACCTTAAGATTCACAGCTCAATTCATAACCACTACGCTACCAGGGCTCATTTAATTGCTGCCCTTATGTTTGTTTTTTTGTTGTGTAACTGCTTTCTTTGTTCTTTGTGTCTTCTTTTGCTTAGTTTATGTTTTTTGTGTTCTTTCTTGTGAGTTTCCTCATAGTTCTAATGTTTCCATTTTCTTCTTGGGTTTTCATTTTATTGGTATGTTGTGTAGGGTTAATTTTTTTTTTTTTTTTTTTGAGGTTACCTTATATTCCATTAACTTTTCCTTTCATTTAGTGCTGTCTATTTTATCCTGTAATCTACCTGACCATCTCACCATCAGGATCACTGTTCCTACATCTTTACCTTCTTTTACATTGTAATTGTTTTGATCATAGACTGACCTCCCATATTCTCCAAGTTTGTTCTTATAGTTTTGTTCTGTTCTCGACTCTTCCATCTTTCAATTTTGTTCTGGGAGGTGTGGCCACATATGTCAATCTCTCGTTGTTGTCTGTTCTTGTTAGTTCTCAGTCCACTGAACTCCCTTTAGGATGTTTTGTAGTGCAGGGTTGGCTTTGACAAAATCCTTTAGCTTCTATTTATCTTGGTTGACAGTTTTTTTCTTTCAGGGTTTTATATATGTCACCCATTGCCTTCTTGCTTCCATGGTTTCTCCTGAGAAATCCAAACTTAATCTGACTTGCTTGCCTTTGTATATAATGCTTCTCTTTTCCCTATCTGTCTTCAGGATTCTGTCCTTATCTTTGATTTTGGAGAGCTTGATTATTATATGTCTTGGTGATTTTCCTTTAGGGTCTATCTTTCCTGGAGTTTGTTGAGCTTCTTGAATGTTTACCTTTTCACTTTTCAGGATGTTAGAGAAATTTTCTTTCAGCAGTTCTTCAACGATTTCCTCTGTGGACTTGTGTAATTCTTCCTGCTCTGGAATGCTGATAACTCTTAAGTTATTCCTCTTCATGTTGTCCAACATGAATCTTAGACCTCCTTCACATTTTTTAATCTTTTTTTCTGTTTGCTCTTCTGGCTTAGTGGTATTGAGAGATTTGTCTTCCAGCTCACTAGTTCTGCCTTCCATCTCTTCTAATCGATTCCTTTGCTCTTTCAGTGTATTGTCTTATTTCTGATATTCTATTATTGATCACTTGGACCTCTTTCTGTAGGTTTTGTATTGTTTCCAATGCTGTATCTATCTTATTTGATTGTTCCTGTAGTGCTTTCCTGACTTCTTCCTTATTTTTTTTCAACTCCATTTTAGTGTTTTGAAATATTTTATAATAATTTTTTAATGAATTCCTTCTCAGGCATTTCCAAGGCCTGCCCGTCTTCCAGAATGGAGTCCAGGTCTACCTCTAAGTCATTTGTCTCAGACGTTTTATCTTGTTTCTGGACATGTGCTGATATGGTCATCTGCTTTTGCTTCTTGGACATGTTTAGTGTTTATCTGTAGCCTTAATACTGAATTGAGTGTGTGTTTTGGTATTTTTTTGCTTTCTGTTTGCCTCCAGATAGATGTGATCAAGATGTGGGCTTCCCTTTTCACTCTTCTTATTGCTTGACTCAGAGTAACTTTCATAGGTGTTGTCTGCCTCACTGGTGTATAGCCTTTGGTATTGGTTCTTGTGTGGTTTTTGGTGTTTTATAGAGTGTGATTGTAGCTTGAGTATATGGCAGCAGTTGCTGTCTCTTCTTGGGTAATATAGGGAGAGAAAGAGTCCCCCAAAGGCAAAAGAGGGAGCCTAAAACAGCAACAGCAAAAAAAAAAAAAAAAACCCAACAACAACACCAAAATACAAAATCAAAAACAAAAATAACAACAAAACTGGGTTGGATACTGTAGTCTATAATCACAGAAAAAGGGAGAGAAGGGAGAGAAGAAAGAAAACAAAATCTGTAGCCTAATATGAGTATGACTTTAATGTCCTCTTTCAACTTCTTGCCTTCAAAGCCGCCTGATCAATTTCAAGATGCCACTGTTTGTTGTTATGCTGTACCTCAGGATTTAATTTAATTTTTGGCCTGTTTTGTTTTTAAACTCTCTTTCCCTCTCCATCCCCCTTGTTCTGGTCTTTTTTACTATTAAAAAACAGTTCAGGGCTGGTTCTTGGGCTGAGAGTATGTGTGTGCATGTGTGGCAGAAGAATCTACCAATGGTGGGGGTGGGGGTGTTCACTTGCTCAGGCTCTCTCTCTAGTCACCAGAATGGAGTTGTGGAAACAGTGGGGGGAGCCAATGAATAGATACCAAAAAGAAAAAAAAAAATCAGAACCAAGCAAAACCTACAAAGTGTATTGTCTACCTTTGCTCCACAGTTCCCGCAGCATTGTTCTGTGGCGGATCTGTTCCTGGGCTTGGTCTTGCCATTTGGTCTCACCGAAGTTGTAAGCTCCAGACCACCGAGCCTGGCAGATTAAAAAATATGGGATTTCTTACTTCTGCTACAAGTTCCACTAGCTATAAGCCTCCAAACTTTTAAAACATTCCTATCTCTTTGATTCCGAGTTTTGGAGCTCTACCCTGAATCCTCTTCACCTGGTATTCTGTGGTATTGCTGACAGAGAACTATACTGCACCTCTACCCTATCCACCACCAAACCCTGCCTCCTATGTGTGTCTTAATATAACATTCTAAGCTCTTTAGATACATGAACTCATTTGTTTTCACACCAACCCTGCCCATAGGACACAGACACAGGTGTAGATACGCATGAGTGCACTGCATCAGAAACCTACACAAATACACCTGGGTGCATATTTGCACCTTTGTACACAGAAACACACAGCTGCTAGTACACACAAGAGTTACTTAAATAAGCATAGATACCTACTAACAGACACAAACAGAGTTTCAGGGACATCTTGGATCTTAAGGCACGTTTGAGACTTGGAGAAAGGGGCTTAGATGGCAATGAAGATAACTTGGCTATTTCACAGACTTCACAGACTTGGGCCCACATGATTTTACAGATAAGGAAAAAGAGACTCAGAGAAGTGGAGTGACTTGTGCAAGGTCACACAACCACTAAGAGACAGTTCCTGAAGCTCTTTCCTTAATCACATGGCTAATAGGCTGTGACTTTTGTCAAAGAGGAACTTACTTGGTAGTGTAAGCTGTATTCCCCTGGGCTCGATCCCAGCCAGCCTTGGTCAGCTGTGTGTCAGGGCAGCAGTAGGATGGGACAGACCAGCCAGGCTTGAGAATGATCTGTGAATCAGAAGCCGAGCTGGGGAGAGGCTGCTGTGTGGCTGGGGGTCCCTTTGCCCAGGATGCTGAGCCCCTCCCTTCTTTCCCCAGGGTGTGTTCCCACAGAGAGCCACGAGGATGCCCTACCAGCAGACCCTGCACCCTCAGCTAGGGTGCTACTCACGACAGGTGAGTCGGCAACCTGCCCACCTCAGTCTCAGCTCCATGAAGGCCTTTGTATCAGACGGAGAGCAGGCCCTTTATCTTTGTCTGCTCGGTCACCAGCCATACCTTCTGCTCCACCTCTGGATCCAGAGTATGGGCATACATACAACCACCCAAGTGAAGACAAGAGTCCATGTGGTAATAACAGCCAACACCTTTGGACCCTGAACTGTGTTCCAAGAACTTCTCCAAGGGCTTCACTTGCATTTATTAATGGAACCCTCTCATGTCATCACTCTATGAGATCAGCTATAGATAAGAAAACTGCGCACAGAGAGATTAAGCCACTTGACAAGGTCTGAAAGCGACCATATGACTTAGCTTTTGCTGTAGCAACAAATTACCTCAACAGCTCAGAGACTTTGCACAATAAACACTAATTTCCCATTCACAGACAGAGATGGGTTGGCTGCAAGCCACTGGGGTTTGGCTGGGCTAGGTTATGGGTGAGGTTCAGGCCTGCTCCTCATGTCCTTTCGGGGCACACTCCTTGCATGTTAGATGATGGGAGCACAGAGGGGCAAGGGAGAACACCCGGTGCCTCTTACACACACCTCAAATACAATGGGTGCATTTTTCACATAAGTGAGTCCCAGATACTGCATGCGAAACACGCTAAAAGATTTATTTGTGGACCTGAAATTCAAATCCAACTATTGTCCTGCATTTTCATTTGCTGACTCTGGCAATCCTCTGGTGGCAGAATCCGAGTTTGACCCAAAGAGTCTGACTTCAGGGCCCATGCTCCCAGTCACTACACTTTATGCCTTGTACTGGCATGGGTCAGTGGTGGAATTCACACCTCCCATGTGGGAGTTGTTGTGAAGTGCCATCGAGTCAGTTCTGACCCATAGCAACCCTGTATAAGGTTTCCAAGCAGCAGCTGGTGACCTTGAACCACCAACCTTGTAGTTCAAGCGACTTTGCAATCTGACGCATTAGCCCACAGTGCCACACCAGAACTCCGGAATGAGGTATAGAGGGTACCAATGACCAATTTGTTATCTCTGTGGGCTGGCCTGGACACTCTTAACCTCGTAGACTCCTCTCTCCCCAGGGAGCCTCACCTTCTCTCTCTCTCTCTGCAAACTTAAAAGAGGTTAAAATATTCTGTTGGCATCTGAGAGCAGGATGGATCCATAAAGGCAGTTTGTTTTATTACCTGGGCCAGGATTGCTTTTCAGTAGTAGGAACCCTTTCTGTCCTGAGATGCAGATGAGAGCCCATGGATATATCACTCTGCACTTTAGGCAGTGATATGCCCATGCGGCTCCAAAGAGAATAGTTTCAGGCAATTATTTGTGTGTGTATATATATTTGGGGAAAGTTGTGTAAGAACCTGACAAAACAAAAACAAACTCTGGGGCAATCACTTAGGTATTTCTTAGGTATACTTCCTGTGGAATCTATTTATAGAAACAGTTTTATACTAATGGTTGCATTCTGGGCACGCTGTTCTATGCATTGCTTTTGTCAGTGAAGAGTGTATCTTGGAAATGGTTCCAGATCAGTATGCAAAGCTCTATTTTATGTTATTTTTTTATCAGTTACATGAAGTTAGAGATACATTTTGGAAGAAAGCTTATATAAGCTCTAGCACCCACATTTTTCTCTTACATGTCAGTTTCTTCCCCATTCACAGTCCTCCAACACTGTGAAGACCAAGGTTATATCTGCCTGCCACACTGACCCACAGGGGCCTGCCCTGGGAGGGTTTCCCTGGGTCTTTCTGTGAGTTTTTGGCTGCCTTGAACCTTAGCTTGTAATCTTGAGGAGGGGGTGCCTTCACTCAGAGGAAGGTGGAAAGGACCAGAGGGTCATGCAGAATTCCAGAGGGTTCACAGCCCAAAGGTTCCAACAACAGCTTGGATCCTGGAAAAAATAAGTGATTCACTTCTTTGAACCTCAGTTTCCGTATCTGTAAAATGGGAATAATAATAGTCATACCTCATACGACTGTTTGGAGGCCTGGAATACCCCAAGCACTCAATAAATGTGTGATTTTTTTTTTTTTTTTACTAGATAAGGATAAGAAGGTAAGAGAGGCAGAGTGCCGAATCCCTGAGCAGCTTTGGCCCCAGACTCCTGCTATTAAAGTGGGAATCCAGAAGCTTCTTCTGTTTTGATTAAAATGCTTCACAACACCGGAGGATAGATATCAGCTCCATATGAGGAAGGGCTTTCTGATGCTTGGAGCTACCAAAAGTGAAATACAGTGCCTATGATGCAATGGACTCCCCATCAGTTTAGATGTTCAAGCAGTTACCTATGGTCTATTCTTTCTTCTACCTTTCCCTCCCTCACTCTCCTCTCTATCCTGAATTCATTCATGAAATGCATGTCTATTGAGCAATTACTATGTACCAGGCACTATCCCAGGGCAGGGACATACCAGACATCAAGTCAATTGAAGCTCCTGCTTTGTTGGGGTATGATAGTGTAAGTCCCCATTCTTGGTGGTAGTTTGAGTCAGTTAGTCTCAGAAACCCCCACTGAGGTCCTGTATTTCTCTAGGATTTGGGGAGCTGAACTCCATTACGGCTTTTTGCCCTTTCGACTAGATTCATCTTGTCTGATAACACTCGCAAGTGACCATGTATAGCTTTTAAATTTTAAATTAGCATTTCATTCATTAAAATGTAGTAAAGCTAAAAACCCAGTTTTTCAGCACCACTTGCCACAGTGTGAGTAGTGGCTAAGGTATTGGGTAACACGGGTACAGAACTTCTTACCGTCTTAGGAATTTCCATTGACAACGCAGTCTCGGACTTGGGTTCTGTTGAGTGTGCCCCACATTTTGGAGATGGTTAAAATCTTAAAAATGAATAAGGGCTTTTGGGGTAGTTATTGGTGAGGCAAAGGTGAAAGAAGAAAATGGAAATAATATTTATTTGCATTTTGTTACATGCCAGTCTCTTTATTTATATCAACTCATTCAATTTCCACACAACACAGTTTGCCCATTTTACAGATGGAGGAAACTGAGGTTTATAGAAATGAAGCAAATTGTTAGGTTCACATCTAGAAGTTGAACCCTTTCCTCTCTTCGCTCTAGCAGGCTGCCTTCTCTGTACCCCACAGTGTCTGGAAGTACAGGGGCTAAGGAGTAGGGGCTGGGGAAAGGTTATGCCTAGAAGCGGAGAGCTCTGCTGGACCTAGCCCCTCTCTCCCTCTGATTGCAGGTGACGCCATTCAATCCACAGCAGATGGGACAGCAGATTTTCCGATCTTCCTTTACCCCCTTGCTTAGCTACATCCCCTTTGTCCAGCCCAACTACTCATATCCTCAGAGGACTCCTACCAAGCTGTCTGCCAACCCCCGAGATCCTTCTCCCATGGCAGGAGATGGGCCACAGTACCTCTTCCCCCAGGCATATGGGTGAGTCTTCAGCCTATTCTGGAAGCCCAGACCATACCCAGAAAGCTGTCGAACAGGGGAGGGGAATATGGCAGGCTTCATTGGTGCTTTCTTGGTACATGTGTTCCATGACTTGAGGAAGGGAGGGCCCTGTGCTTGTGAATCCCGAGAAGGCCTTATATGAAGGTAAGTAGGGTCCAGAACAATGTCTGGCCCACGAAATCATTTGGTCTGGCCCTGCCAAGGCAATCGCAGCTCCAGCCTTCATATTAGGGGTGAGTTAATGAAATGTTTGACCAAATATAGCAGGCTCATTTTCAAGTTGATCATTTTGTGTGGCCCATGAATGATGTTATAAATTTTGGCAGAAGAAAGGTTTTCCACCCCTGGCCTTGAGGCCTACATTTTGGTTGTAGAAATGCAAGTGCACAGTCATTACCATAGGAAGGGCAGTACTGGAGCTGGAGCATGCTGTTTTGCCTTTACCCATCTGCTTGATTTCCAACAGGATGTGGCCAAGTAATCTTCTTAGAGCTCTCCCCCGATTTAGTGCCCCCTGAGCTCCTTGCCAGGGTAATCTCCTGAACATCCCATTGACTTCATGACAGGCCCTGGGGAAGGGCCTTCTACTGCTTATCAGAGCTGCTCACACTTTTCCTCCAAAGTTCCCCAAAACAACAAAGGAGAGGGACTCAAACTTCCCAGGAGAGTCTGAGGACTCAGCTGCCAACTGTCAGCACAGACTCAACCTTTAGCTGACAATTCTACCCTAATTTGGCATGCTGATCAGTTATAAATCTGTGCTTGTTTTATTATAACAATAAATAACTGTTCATTCCCACCCACCAAATCTTCGACTAATAGCTCCAAGAGGCAGTTCTCTGTCATTCCTGTGAATCCAGTCTCTGAGGCTCACCACAGAGGTTGTATGTTCAGCTGGAGAAGCTCAGTTTACAGGATCAGGGCCAAGTCCCCCACTCAGACATTGGTTCCCTCCCCGCCCAATCCGCATCACAGACCTTCACCACAGTGTCCATCTGTCTCCCCTAATTCTCATTCTTTCAATGAGCATTTCCCAAAATGTCTTGTTAAAACAGATACATGCTAGAAAGAGGTTTTTATAATCAGAGATGTTTGGGGAAAGCTGTGGCAAACAGAGAGAAATAGATTTCTTAATTGTTGAAGTTTTCAGATCATTTAATTTCCTAGGGTGTATTGAGAATCTTCAAGAGGTTGGTCAGTAGTGTTCTTTGAACATGAAACTCTCAACCCCTTTTGTCTTTTTCCTTTCCTTTCTTTCATCTTTCCTTCCCTTGTCTCTCCCCTTTCTTCCCTTCTCATCTTCCTACCTTCATTTCTTCTTCCCTACTTCTGTCTCCTGCTTCCCCCAGAGTTGAAGATTCAACTTGTCCCTCCCTGAAAAAGATGAAAAGATAAGATTGGAAAAGGCATGTTGAGATAAGATTGCAAAGACCTTTGACCACTGGGCCTTGGCATCCCATGAAGACTTGTGCATATCAGAGGAATTGACTAGAGGGAAGAAAAACAGGTGATTAGAGAGGGAGTAGTCAGTCTGCAGGTGACTTTAGGGGGCTGTGTTGTTGTTAAGCGTCTGTCATTTCTGATTCATAACAACTCTGTATAGGGTTTCCAAGGAGTGGTTAGTGACTTTGAATGGCTGACCTTGAGGTTCAAACCAACCATTCAGTCCGGTCCAGTGCTTACCCAACAGTGCCTGTATGAGCACTTAGTCGAATAGAGTTACTATCAGTCAGAATTGACTTGATGATACTGGTTTTGTGTTGGGTTTATGAGTACTCATCACTTTCCTGGAGGTAAGAGTAGCTGAGACCGTAGAGGAGAAGAGGTAAGAGGCTTTAAGACAAGCTACCTGTTGGCCTGCAATCTTCTCAGGTTTCACTGTGTGACTCTGAGCTCAAGAAATGGGCAATGCAGATTGGTAGTTGAGGGTTGGGACCTGGCTTCTGGGGATGTCTGTACATGGGACAGGATGAGGAAGAAGAGCACATGGGAGACTGTGAGACGTACAGGAGAGCCTGTGGAGAGTGGTTATGAGGGAACACAGAGGAGGAAAGCAGTAACCCTGGAAGAGATTTTTTTTAGGAATCTTAAGAAAGGAATTTTTATTGTGGGCAAGAGGATGCAAATAATATAAAAATCAAAAGCTTATCTGACATTGAATTGATTTTTCTTTTTCTGCTTGTCAAATGGGATGGATTTTATTTGTACACATTCTTAAGAGTCCCGATCTGCTCATGAAATGCGTACACAGGGGCAAGCTGTGGCAATTCCTTAAGCCACTCTTTGGGATAACTCTTATCAGGGTGGAAGTGATTTCTCAACTCTGCCTACTTGTACTTCTTTCCCTTCTGCTTCATGTAGACTACAAAATAGTCGTTGCATGTGATGGTGAGCCCAGCAGTGAGCAAAAGACAGCTCTGGAAGCCCACCTTACCATCTCGGCACTGGTCCAGGCCTTTTTTCCTACTCTGTCTTAGTTCATAAAGTCTACTGACAGCTTGCCACCATCAGAGGCTCTGCCTGTATTTGAAATACCAGTTGCATAGCCTCTAGCATCCTAGCAACACTCAAGCCACCACAGTATGATAACCTGACAGGCAGGGGGTAGTTCTGATTGTCTGTTTTAAAAAGGCTCCCCTGGCCAATGTGTGAGGAATATATGCAAGGGAGCAGGTTAGGAGGCCTTGTCCAAGCAAGAGATGGCGACCATGGGGAAGAAGATGAGTCAAAGGATTCAAAATGCCTTTGGCAAAATTATTGAGACTAGATGATGAAGTGCAAGTGGGATAGGGGAAAAGTATGTTAATTATGATTCTTTAAGGTTTTTACTTGAGCAACTGGGTGAATGATGATGTCAAAATACTAAGATCAGGGTGAATAGAGCTGGAATCTGTGTATCATGAGTTTTCAGTTGGGGATGCTTCTTAGATCTATGAGCAAGATTGTTGATAGTCAGATGGATATCCAATTCCGGGGCTCAGGGGAGAGGGGCTGGTAATATGAATCTGGGATCCATTAGCATATAGATGATATTTAAAACCATGGGATTGAATGAGATTGCCCAGGGAGTGAGTGTATATAGAGGAGAGGTTCAAGTTCTGAGCCCTGGGCTTTCCAACATTTAGCAGTTGGAGGGTGATTATGGAGGAGCCAGCAAAAGAGCCAAGAAGTGAGATTGGAGAAAACATCGGAGAGTGTGAGGTACTAGAAGCCAAATGAAGCAAGTGCTCTCTGGTAAGAGAAGAAACCCGGGCAATGTATGGTACAATGCAGGTTGCTCTGGGCAAATTGGTGTGCTTGTGGGTTACCAATGGTACTGGATGCAACTAGGTCAGGGAGGGGCTGTCGTGGGTAGGACAGGCTACATGAACCTCAGTGGAGAGTTAAGTCAGGGAGAGAGGAGAGTCAGAAAAAAATGAGGTTTAATCAAGAGGCTGAACTGTATCAAATGGGAGAGGAATGAGAAGTTGGCCTTCATGATCTCAGGGGAAGAGGAGGCGAGCCCTCCCTTTCTTCTTCCAAGCCGATTTGCACATACTGTCCAGGATAGATAACCAAGCAATAATAATTTTGAGAGTTAAGAGAGGCATTAATTGCTATTACTAACATAGCAAGTCAGGAGGTATGACCACCATGCTCTAAGGGCAGCTCAAGTTTCTCCTCCTCTTCCTCCAAGAAGCTTCCCTAGATAATTCCAGTCCTCACAGATTTCCCCTCTTCCTGGCCCCTGTACTGCACAGCTGTCTAAACCAAGTCCTGGGCAGTTGATTTGATCTCAAGTCTCAATCTGGAGGGCCTAGATCTAGGGGACGTGGTAATCAGATATGAAGTGTGTCATTTATTACTGGTCTTGGCCTTGATTTTATAAATCATTGTAGAATCCGGGTTGGGGGGGTTTCTATCATAGTTGCTCTCTGTCATTAAGGTTCCAACATGATTTTTGAAAGCTAGAAAAAGAGGCAGTGTTATTACAAGGCATCTATGTCAAGCTGCTTGTTTGTTAACATAAAGGTTAGAGGCTTGAGTCCATACAGGGGCACCTCAGAAGCAGCCATTGAAAACTCTGTGAAGCACAGTTCTACTCTGACACACGTGGGTTTGCCATGCATCTGAGTTAACTTGATGCCAACTAATTTGTTTGTTTTGTTTTGTTTTGACTTGTGCCACGTCCTGGCCTGTGTACTGGATATAAAATGGTAAACAGTCCAGACAATGTTTTTACCTCCCTGGAACTTCTTTTTGTGAGAAGGGAATCAGATAAGCTTAAACTGTCCATGGAAGCAAGAGGCTGATTCTATTGTCAGCTAAAGCACAATACATTTATGTGGTTTGCTTCCACTACTTTTGCATGCCACCATCCTGTTTCTTTTCTTCTTCTTTTTTTTTTTTTTTTCAAATTAATCAATTTATTAGAGGATTTCATGAACGTGAGAATCTTCTGTCATATGCATCTGCCCAGTTGAAAAGTGATTGAGAATCCCTGGATTTGACTCAATCTGGGCATTTGCTCTGCTGCAATTTGTACCGAACTCGGTTTCCATTTATTCTAAGTAACTTGGCAGATGGGTGAGGAAATTGCAGTACGAACCCAGAAACGGGATCAACCAATTCCATCTGGAGAGGTCAGGGCGGGCTTCACAGAAGAGATGCCTTTTGAATGCCCTTTAGAAGTGTGGCTTGGATTGTACCAGGGAGAAGAAACAGAACTACATATACTTCTATTGTTAGAGGTGCTCCCTTCCCTGAATGTCTAGCAGAGACCCAGACCCTTCAATGATGCCTCAGTGCTCACATCTCAGACTGCTGCTGTTGAACGGAAGTGTCTGATTTAGTTCGGTGCCTTTGTCCAGGCTCCATAGTCTTTGTCCTGGCCCAGCGTTCTCTGATGGTGTGGACTCTGAGGAACATACCTGCTCCTCCTTCATAGCAGTTGGAGAGAGCACAGTTATGGTTATATGCTGTGGAGTCGGTTCCGACTCATAGCGACCCTGCACAGGGTTTCTGAGGCTGGAAATCTTTACGGGGGCAGAAAGCCTCATCTTTCTCCCGCGGAACAGCTGATAGTTTTGAACTGCTGACCTTAAGGTTCACAGCCCAATTTGTACCCACTGTGCTACCATAGCCACTCTGAACCAGAGGAGCCCCCTACTTGTAGTCGTGGGGCATGGCGAGAACATAGAAATGATCCCTAAAGATCACCAGGTGTTTCCTCACCTAAGTAAGTGGCAGGAGAAGCTCTTTATAGTTTTCAAAATATATCATTTTAATATTTTATTTTCCCAGAGCCAACACTTTTTTATTATGCCAAAGCATTTTGCCTCCAAGCTTGTCATGATTTTCATAGTCTTTGACAACCTCAAAAATTAATATATAGTTTTCTCTAATATCACTAATAACATCAGGGATTTCATCATAGTATTCATATTTTCTCTCTTCCAGGTTCAGCTCAACATCTGGTGGACCACTGATTAACAGCCCCTATTTTTCCCCCAGTGGGAATGGCATAAATTTCTAGATTTCCTTTTCTTTTCCCTCTTTAGCCCTAACCCAAGCGCTAAGGGCTCTGGAATTCTGGATTCTGCAACAGCTTGGTGTGAAGTTTGGATAACCAAGGTTCCAACCAGGTCACCAACAGGATACAGCAAGACCAGACTCATCTATTGACCAACACTTATACACACACACACACACATACACACACACACACAACACCAGCCACACATACACACTTGCTCAACCACATATGCATCTATATTTAGCTAACAAGAGTGATTTTTGCTTCTGTTGTTATTGGTATAATAGAAATAAGACATGTAATTTTAGAAAGTTTGTGTTTTATGATAAAAGTATGAGCTACTTGAAATGAGGCATGCCTGTTTATTTTTGTTATGTTCTGTGTCATCTCCACTGCCTATTTCCCCCACCCAAGACTCGACATTTACTTCACAAATGAAGAGAAACCCCATGATCTAGTGTCTTCAGAGCACTGCTCTCTAAATTTGGAATTCCTGGAATTATAAACTGAGAGTTCAACTTGTTTTCTTCTGAGATCTTTTTTCTACTGAACAACCTGGTCTATGCATATCAGGAATGGGCGTAGAATGAGCATGTGCGCCTCTGTCCTGCCCAGGTGGAGGTCTCTCTTGTATGCAGGTGGAAAATGTAGACTGGAAAACAATGAAAACTAATTCTAAACATGAAAGATTTCTTTCATCAATGTCAATATAGAGGTTAGCACCTGTCTTGTTCAAAACTTTTATCAGTGTCTTGGGTAAGGGCATCATGACCACACATGTCTGGGAAGGTAGACTTTAAAACAGTAGTTTTAAATTGGCGATGTTACAGGTAATTGTCTTAGCCTGCATCCATGGCAGACATCACTAATCAACAGTGGCATTCTTTTCCTCTGGGCCTGGACAAAGCCACCAAATCATGCTCCAGATGGTTCTGCATGCAACCGTTATTGACCCAAGAGTTGGTGTATGAACTAAAACCCATTTGCCATTCTTTGACAAAATTTAACAAGATGATAAATGTGAAGGATAAATGTGGAAACCTACTTTGGGTCTTAAAATATGAACTGTGCACTTATTGGATAAGCCAATGTTGTTCATTCTAGCTTGCTCTACCAGCAACTCCATTAGTCACCTTGAAGCTCAACCCCACTCTGGCTGAGACTAGGGAGGGCCAGGCCTGGAAAACATAAAGAGCCCTAACCCTGAGAGCAATGAGAGGACGGGCATCTGGAAGTCATCAGAGTTACACTCAATGCTAACACGAGATTTCTCTGTATATCATGACACCATTGCACAAACCTTTCTGTGTCCTTATTGCTGTTATTAGGTGCCATTGAGTCAATATTAACTCATAGCGACCCTATGTACAACAGAAAGAAACACTGCCCAGTCCTATGGCAACCTCACAATCATTGCCACACTTGAGCCCATTGCTTCTGCCACTGTGCCAATCCATCTTGTTGGGGGTCTTCCTCTTTTTCTGATCCTCCACCTTACCAAACATGATCTCCTTCTCCAGGGACTGGTCCCTCCTGATAATATGTCCAAAATAGGAGTGACAAAGACTGGCCATTATGGCTGCACTTCTTTCAAAACAGATTTGTTTATTCCTTTGGCAGTCCATGGCACTTTTAATAGTCTCCTCCAACACCATAATTCAAATACATCAATTCTACTGCTGTCTTCCTTATTCACTAACTTTCACATGCATATGAGGTTATTGAAACTCCCATGGCTTGGGTCAGGCATACATTACTCCACAAACTGACATCTTTGTACTTGAACACTTTAAAGAGGTCTTGTGTAGCAGATTTTCCCAATGCAATACATCATTTGATTTCTTGACTGCTGCTTCCATGAGTGTTGATGGTTGATCTGAGCAAAATGAAGTCTTTGACAACTTCAATCTTTTCTCCATTTAAATGGATGTAGTTTATTGGTCCAGTGGTGAGGAATTTTGTTTTCTTTACATTGAGATGCAACCCGTACGGGAAGGCTATGGTCTTTGATCTTCATCAGTAATTATTTTAAGTCCTCTTTGCTTTCAACAAGCAAGGTTGTATCATCTGCATATCGCCGGTAATTAATGATCTTCCTCCAATCTTCATGTAATCTAGCTTCTCAGATTATTTCTCAGTATTATACAGATTGAATAAGTATCATAAAAGAATATAACCCTGTTTCACACCTTCCTAATTTTAATCCATTCAGTGTTCCCTTGTTCTGTTCCAACAACTTCCTCATAGGTTCCCCATGAGCACAATTAAATGTTCCAGAATGTTCATTCTCCATAATGTTGTCCACACAGTCATGATCCACACAATCAAAAGGCTTTGCATAGTCAATGAAGCACAGGGTGACATCTTTCTGGTATTCTCTGATTTCAGCCACAATATCTCTCATTCCATATCCTTTTATGAATCCAGCTTGAACCTCTGGAAGTTCTCTTGTACATATATGATTGCAGCCATTTTTGTATTATTTTTAGCATAAAGGGTCCTTGGAAACCAATTTCTCTCCCAAGTTATCTTAGAACTTATACATTTTCTGTGACTCTACGTCTACCATAACTTCTTCTCAAGGTTGGATCCTACTTTCAGAATTTATGTTTCTTTTTTATATCTTTCATTAACAGCCAAGATTCTTCATCAATTATGAGAAACAAAAGTTAACTGAAAGTTTTCACAAAGACAGGACCCCTTATTCTTCCTAAGAATTTCCTTAAATTCTGGATATTGATACTTCCAGATATTGATCCATGTTGGACTATAGTTTACCACCCTCTTTGGCCTTGGCAAGTCCTGGGTTCTTAGCCATTTTCCAATTCTGACCTTGGGCAAAGAACTTAACCACTCTGAATCTCATTATAATAATGACAATATTAAAATATAACGTAGACTCATGGTTTTAAAACAATGGAGTAAAGATGTTACTATCCCTCTTCTCTTGAATTTTACCCCCACCAATTACAAGAAAAATGAGAACATGAATAAACAGTATGCTCAATGTAATTAGGGAGAGCCCAAAATTCTACCACTTTCTACAAAGGCAGAAACAGGATGTAGGAATGGTGAGTATTCCAGCAGAACAAAGGAAGATGACATAGACATGCCTGCTAAAGGAAATATCAACAAGAACCAAGCAAGACATTTCTCCTCGTACATTCCTGGAGGTCTTGAGAACTGGAGTTCCAGGCACCATGGGAAGTGGGAATGTAGAGGGAACTGAAAGCAAGGGGCTTGCAGTACTTGTTCTTGCCCCACAGATGTAGGGGCCATGGACTGTACCATGAAAGACAGAGCCATAGTAAGGACATTATGTGTGAAGAACGTGCCGATGAGGGAACAGACGGGAACAGGGCATTAGATACGTCAGTGCAAGAACGAAATTTTAAACAAGAGGCAGGAGTTTGGAGAATTGTCTATAGAAACAAAGTTTGAAAGTCATTTGGAAGTATCAGTTAAAATTACCCAGGATTATGTGCAGCTACAAAGAGCTTCTAATCAATGTTTTAAGACTGATTCTTAATAGGAATGGCCAGCCTCCAATAAGAAAGGAACAAAATAAAATACATGTAAAAACAGGATTCAAGAAAGAGAGACCACAATATTCTCAAGGAGATTTGTTGTTGTTAAGTGACACTCAGCTGGTTCCAACTGAGGAGCAGCTGGTGAGTTTGAATCGCTGAACTTGAGGTTACCAGTACAGTGCATATCCTACAGTGCTACACTTTGCTAAAGTTACCCACTTGTAGTATTTCTGTTATAACAATACTAGATAACTAAGACAACCATAGTGTCCGAAAGAAGATAGTACTTTCAAAAAATAAGGACACTATGGTTGTCTTAGTTATCCAGTGCTGTTATAACAGAAATACCACAAGTGGGTAACTTTAGCAAAGTCCGAATTTAGGACACTGTTGCTAGGGGAAGATTTGTCTCCTCAGTGTCTGCTCCTTGGTTCCTTGGTAAAATAACCCCGTCTCTGCTTGCTTGCTTGTTTAATCACTTTCATAGCTCACAGAGATTGACTTAAGATGGACCTTACACTAACATTGTCCAGTAACATAACAAAGAAAGCCCATTCCTATGTCATCAGCTTATCAGATTATTTGCTCACATATAGATTGAATGTTATTGTGGTTAGGTGCCATCCTAACAGTACCAACTCATAGTGACTCTGTGTACAACAGAATGAAACACTGCCCGGTCCTGGACCAACCTTACAATTATTGCCACACTTGAACCCATTGATGCTGCCACTTTGCCAATCCATCTCACTGGGGGTCTTCCTCATTTTCTCTGACCCTCCACCTT